CCGCAGGAGGAAGGCTTGGGGAAGGGGGGCAGACAGGAGGGGTTCCGCTGCTCTACAGGAGCAGGTTGGCCGGGGCTGGGCAGGGGAGATGGTGACAAAACTGCAGAGGAGAGAATAGAATCATAGAATCACAGAATCGTTTAGGTTGGAAAAGCCCTTTAAGATCATCCAGTCCAACCATTAACCTACACTACCAAGTCCACTCTAAACCAATTAAGGGTAGACTAGACTAAACCATGTCACCAAGTCCCACTTCTACCCGTTTTTTTGAGAGGAACAAGTTCAGCCTGCTCTGACTGTCCTGGGGGGCCACCGACACCACTGGTGTTCCCTCCCCTTGCCCATGACAGAGTTGGCGGTGGCCCAAGGAGGGCCCGTGGAGGCCCGCAGTTTGGGCTGCCCTTCGGAAATGACACCTCTTCCCCAAAGGATACTGGATGCACTCCGTGGAGTTCCCCACCACCATCAGCTGCCGGTCCCAGGCCACCACCACGGCACGCTGCCGGCTCCGGGGACGCATGCACCTGCCAGGGAGCCCCAGCCCCGGCTTAATCCCGGCCCAGCTGCAGCCCCCCACGCCTGGAGCGGGGATTCCAGAGGGTCCCGCTCGTCCCAGGGAGGCAGTGGGGTGGCCGCAGAGCTAAGCAGACCCCGGCAAAGGCGCGGGGTACCGGAGGGGTGCGGGTGGGCACAGCCAGGGGCAAAGGAGGCTGGCAAGGAGACCACTCACCAAACCATCTGCTTGGGCGGAGATCGGATGCTGCTGTTGAACTCGCAGAGCTTCTCCTGCGGCAGGAGAGAGCTGGGTCAGGGGGACGGCAGCGCAGGGACGGGCGGCATCGCCTGTGCTGCCGGGGCCACGCGCTGAGGGGAGCTGCTGGGGGATGAGCAGCACAGACCAGGCTGCACTGGGCACCGGGAGCGTGGGTGCCGCACTGTGAGCGAGTTCTGCAGGAGCACCCGGCCCCGTTTCTAGTTCTGGCGGCAGCCAGGGCCACGACTGACGCAGCCAGAGGGCAAAGACGCTGCGTTAGCACTTAAACCAAGTGTGAGAAACGTTCCTCCATTGCTGCGGCACACAGCTTGCCTGCATGTAGAGTGAGAAGCTGCTTGTGCTCGACTGAGACCCGGTAAGCGAACGAAGACGAAAGGAGGACTGGTCTCGGAATGCATGGAAGGCAACCAGCACCTCACCAGCATGAGCCCCACGACGTGGGGGAATTTGCAGGGCAGAATCAAGATGTGCAAGCAAGGCCCCTACGCCGACGTGACCACACCAGCAGTGGTGATAAGGCTGAGACTATGCAAGAAACAGTACTAGAACCACCACGTTTGGGTATGGATGTAACAGAACTGTGACCAAGGTGGGAAAAGTCATTAGCGGTGGGCTGTTTATCAAGGCGGGATTTGGACAGAGAAAGGGAGGTGCAAGACCAGCAAAAAAGGCAGGTTTAGAAATAGAAAAAGTCAGGAATGAGGTATAAAATCAGACAAAGAGCAAAAGAGGGTGGATCTCTGGCGGACAGGAGCGCAGACGCCTGCGGGCAGCAGCAAGGCTGACCCGAGTCCATGGGGACCCCGAGGGAACCTGCACGGACATCCCGCCCTGCTGAATCTGTCTGCTGGACAGGGAGAGGAGGGGTGGGCCGACACCCTAACACCCCGCGACGGGGAGGGAAGGTTGACGCTCACCTTCAGCGTGGCCAGCCCCATCCAGATGTAGCCAGTGTCGGTGAAGAGCGCGAGGCAGCGGTAGTTGAAGGACACGGCCATCTGCAGATAGGCGCCGGCGGAGGGGCTCATGCCAGGGGGGGTCTGGGACAGGGAAAAGGAGAGGGTCACACCTGCAGGGCACACTCTGGGGACACGGGATGTGCTGCATGCTGGCACCGATGCTGCGTAAAGGGCTGAGGACTGGTCAGAGTGGGGTGTCCCTTCCCACCCTGCGCCTGCTCAACCCTCACCCCTTTGCCTCTGGCCAGGATGAGGGCAGACGTCCCTGCCGTACATGCCTGCCCATGGGACAGTACGGGGGAAAGACCTGCCAGCGAGCGCTGGAGGCTGGAGAGCAGCCCGTGGGACAGTGTGGGGACACGGGAAGGACCTGCCAGTGAGTGCGGGGGGTTGCAGACCACCCTGCTCCCCGTGGACACCTGCTGCGGCTCACTCACCACCACGGAGCAGGAGGTGTTATCCAGGAGGTAGAGGTCCTGTCCGACTGCCAGCAGGATGATGGTGACTCTGTCCTGGGACAGCACGGCCCAGCAGGACGGTGGCTTCTGCAAACCTGCCGGGCACAAGCGTCAGGCCCCCGTGCCCAGCTGGAGCCAGGGGCAGCAGGGAGGGGACGCACCGGGAACCTCGGGCATCCTGCGCAGCTTCAGGTCGTCGATGTTGGTGGTCAGGGAGAAGCGGTGTGCCCCGGTGAGGATGGCCACGCCGGTGCCATACTCTGTGTGGAAGACCTTTGCCTCCAGCACGTGGTTCTGCAGCACCTCCTGTGCCACAGAGACACAGCTGGGCCCGAGCCGAGCAGCCAGGGCTTGGCACCACGCTGCTGCTGCTCAGGGAACGAAACCACCCTGGGGAGACGTGAGCCCAGCCCTGTGCTGCACTGCTAGCAGGTGTCCCAGCTCAGACAGCGCTGGGACACTCAGACACTCTCTCCTGCAGCGAAAAGGGGATCATTCTGGCCCCAGGGACTGCAGGCTTGGTTGCCAGCTCATTCCCGAAGGCTGGCAGCCCTGCAGGAAGGCTGGGAGAGCCCCAGGCTCCCCACCATGCCCCACAAGGCTGGGGGAGTGCTCAGGGAGGCCTCGCAGAGCTTCACTTCTCCGTCACACAAACCCAACCCTGGGCATCTCTTGAGCTCCCTGTCCCGCCCCACTCACGTTGCCCATGCTGAAGTGGCGCTTGAACTCGCAGAAGAGGTTGTAGATGAGAACGGTGCCGTCCTCCTGGATGCACAGCAGGTCCTCGCTGGCCGTCCAGCCCAGCTGCAC